CATCGAGTCTGTTGTTTTGCCCGTGCCGGTAATTGATGGGTGATCTCTCTCTGTCCTTAATCTCAACCCACAAGCTTTTTGTTATATTTCCTCTCTGCTGCCCAGTTGAGGGCGGGGAGTGAGAGAGTGGGCTTTGGTGGGCACCTGACATCCAGCCAGGGTCAACCCACCACACATGGGCTTCCTCTCTTCGTAGTGATAGTCCTGTCCTTGGTGTAAGATGTGCTTTTTTAGTTGGTTCTGAGAAATTTCAGTGTCTTGGATAACAGACTTAAGTTCTTTGTTATCTTACAATGATGTTCAGCCTGAATAATTGAAATACAGAACTGACACGTAGGCAGCCCAGCTGACTGCAGGTTTGGTAAGTCTGGCCTCCTGAATGTCAGGCTCGTGTTTCGGTGTTCCCACAACAGAGCTCTGCGTTGCATTTAGCATAACTTGTGATGTTAAGTTGTACTGTTTTTTCTCGGAGTGTGTAATCTCTTACACTGTCAAAAAAGCCAAAACTTTTATACCAAATTTTTATTAATTGCACCAACAATGTAACTTCAGGAGCATTGTATTTATGTGGTCTCTGTACTGCTTAGGCTTTGACCAAACTAAAACCTGTATTTGCTATTACTTCTGATTCCTTGCATAAACATAGTATCTGTTTGAGGAGAACAGAAAAATGATTTGCAGTCCATTGCATCTCATGAAAGCAAATGATAAAGTCTAATGTCTGAAAGGAAAACATTTTAATACTGGCAGTTACTGTTCTGTTGAAATACTGAGGCTGGGAACAGATGAATTATGTCAATTAAAATCATCAGTTAACTTCTGTTAGGGAATAATTTAAAATGGCAGTAGTAGTACATTACCCTTTCTGAAGGCATGTAATTCTTGCTATCGTTGAGTGACAGATACATGTGGACCAGTTGGAAAATACCACGAAGGAAGGACTTTTAAATGTTCAGATTTGCCTTAATGACTTTATGAAAAATATTGCTAAAAAACTCCTGCAATGAATATGACCCTCAACAGTAATATTTATATGGCATAGTTAGTGTTTGTTAGGGATCCTGTTATTGTTCACAATATAATTAGACTTACAATCTATTAAATGTGGCATACTGTAATGTTCTGCTTTGTAAACATTATTGACTCCAATTTAAGACTGAGATTGCCTCATGCCAACAAATAAAAGAAAATCATGGCCTCATTAAAACTTCTGATTATTTAAATGTGCACTCTATGGGTTCCTGATGCAGTCAAAGTTGAGACTGAACCAAAGTGAATATTGAACACAGGTGCAAGCTTCTTTGCAGGTGAATTGCCAACCTCCTTTTATGTAAACCTCAGCTGTCTGCTTAAATCTCACTAAGTTTAAGGGGGGAAAGATGCAAATCTGAATAGCTTTTTTACCTCATTTGCACAGGTGTATTCATATTGTGCTACTGCCTTATTTTTCATGTTTGTAGATAATAACAAGATACTGATTTGGTAATCCAATGTAGCCCTGTATGTGTATTGACCAGTTAGTTATTCATTCATGGGAGGTAAGTGAAAATAGGCTTGTCTAAACAGTTCATCTTACAGGGCTGAAATTAATTTTTTAAGTTTTGTTGTTTCTTAAATGGACGAGAAATTGGATACTAGATTATTTAAGCAGTACGCAGAATGGGCCATCACTAAAAGTGAGTTTGTTTTCATGTTTGCTGTTAAGGACCTTTAATAAAACCGTTATCTTGTTGTTACTACTTGTATCATTAATGTTTTTCATCTCAGATAATGAAATGATCTGAGTCTCTTAAGCTCTACTCTTTTGCAGCTTGTGTGTGCTGCACGAACTCAGAGGATGACCTGATTCTCTTTATTAGTCTATTAGAGCATTTGTTGTCTTGATCTCTATCTGCAGTGGTCTTTGTTAGTCAGAATAACTTACAATACTGGTAGTAATTTTCTGAAAAGTATAAAGTGTCTTGTCTCAGCAATGAGGACAGATCCAGATAGGAGGCTTTTTTAATATAAACTTTGCTTTTATTGTAGTAACTATTGGATGCTGTTTCTGCTGTCAGACACTGTACAAACAGAGCAAAATACAGTAGTGCTACTAGAGCATCTATAGTGTAGGTCACTTGCTTGAATTGCAGTCTCTCACTGTGAAAACTTTCCCACAGCTGTGCCAGCAAACATCGCAGACCTGAGAAACATAGAAGTGCTCAACTTCTTCAACAACCAGATTGAGGAGCTGCCTACACAGATTAGCAGCCTTCAGAAGCTTAAACACCTGAATCTTGGGTGCGTATCTTAATGCAAAAATTTGCTGTATTAGAGGTACTGTCCAATGCTGTCACAACTGAACCTGGAACTTCTTATTTTTTACTATTAAAGTTTCTTTTTCAAGGTGAGGATAACTTGGCAATTATTGCTTCAGAGTGTTTAGCTGTTGTCCTGGTTGATAGGATACTTAAAAGTGATCAAGCCATTACTCTAGTATACTGGTAACCATTTAAGGGCAACAGCAACTCACATTCATCTAATACTGAAATCAAACTTAACAATTATTGAATTTTACTTCCCTAGCAACTCTCTCTAAATTCTGTGGTTGCTGTGTAAGAGCCAGACTCTATTGTCTGCTCTGCTTTGGGGAGGGAGGAACAAACAGATGAACAACAACCACAAAAACAAAAACCCAAACCACCAAAAACCCCACTGAATGCCAATTTTTCCATGTTAGTTTAGGACTTTAATTCCCAAATCCCAAATTTGGGATTAAAGAAATTTAAATTTCTCTTAAACTTGTAAAAGCAGCAAATCTTAAGTGTGATGTACATTTAATTCAAAGAGCTAGTATTGACCGAATTTGAGCCAGGGACATTCCTGTTAAGTGTTCAGGTACTATATTCTAGTAGAGTTAGTGATACTTTATAATAACTACAGTTGCAGAAAGCTTTCTTGAATTATTAAGAAAATAACTGTGAAGCACAGAATGTTCTCAAAACTGAGTGTACTAAAGTATAACTACTTAGGAAAGCCCTGGTAGGGGTAAGCCTTAGCTTTCTAGGCTTCTCATAGAAAGAATATTTGTATTTATAAGTTCAATCTTCTTAACACCTTAAACTAAGGATTTTTTTACTATTTTAAATACCAAATGTTTCTGGCTAGGCTTTGTGTATCCTGCTTTAGATAATTTTGTAAAGTGCTGATAATTGAATTGCATCTTGAACTGTTGGAATACCAATAAATATTTTCATTTGCTGGCCACACTTCTCTTGATGCAGCCCAGGATACGGTTCTTGGCCTTTTGGGCTGCAAGCGCACATTGCCAGCTCATATTCAGCTTCTTATCCACTACCACTCCCAAGTCCTTCTCTTCAGAGCTGGTCTCAAGCCACTCATCACCTAGCCTGTATTTATGTCTGGGATTGCCCTGACCCAGGTGCAGGACCTTGCATTTGGCCTTGTTGAACTTCATGAGGTTAGCACAGGCCACCTCTCAAGCCTGTCAAAAGAACAGATACCATTCTGCCTGTTCTCAATAGGGAGAGCACTTTCTCTCCCTGTTCCTTGCTTACAAAAGGGAAGGCTGTCAGGGCCACCAAGTCCTTTTTATTAGAGAAAAAGGAGGTGGTTTCTTCAGTCGTATTTGATTTTAGTGTTATGTCACGCTTCATGCATTCACATTACTTTTCCTCTTGACTTCAGTTGTGGCTATTGCTATTTATCACTTTTACATCAGGAGGGTCAAATTCAGGATGTTTAAAGATAACATGGGAAAGGTCATGATTGTTTCCTATCATCACATAAGAATAAAATCCAGTTCTTCAAATACATGCTCTTCCTGAAGATGCTTGTCTTTTTTCCACATTCAAACTTGGGTCATAACCAGAGCAAGATACAGACACACAAGCTATGTTTGATGTATATGCAATAGAGACAGTATGAATAATAAGTGGGTAGTTCTCTTCTGTACATATGATAAGCAGCCAGAGCTCTAGCTTGTAAACGAACAGTAAGGTTCTATGAATATAATCCCCGGCTGCTTGCCTTTCCTTGTTGTTGCAGCAGCTCTAGTGATTATCTGGATCACCTTGTTCAAGCCCCTTGAGGTCAAAGAAAAGTTACTGTTTTCTGTAGCTTATCTGCTCCAAGTTATCAGAGAAACCTTTTCCTTCTGTTAGCTTTCCCCATGTTTTTCTGGCTGTTGGTGGTGGAAACTGCTGTCCTAAACCTCTAAGACTGGCTGAATGAGCTATATTTAGACTAACCATCATCAATCAGAGGACTGACGTTTTATTTACTTCATGCTCTGTGTGCATCAATAGTTATCTAGTGACACAGATTTACTGTTCCTAAGAAGGGGTTTAAGCAGCAATTATCAATGAACATGGATACTGTGTAGTTGAGGTATTCATCTTTGTATTTGGTGCCGTGGTGAAAGGACTATGTGGTATGGTGGAATGGCAGATGGTCAAGATGATGTGCAAAAAGGTAATTTATAGTTTAGCTAGAAGATAGGTCATCTACTAAGGACCAGGTTTCTCTGTAGCACATTGTTTGAGCTGAACATAGCCCTGTTGCACCTCTCTCCCTTGTCCTTCATGTTTCAGGTGTGGCTGTTGATTGACATAACAGACGGGATCCCTTGCGAGTGCCTAGTTTTGGGCATATTTATGCGAGTGAGAGAAAAAGTCTGCATTGCAGAAGGCTTGCTCAGTATCTTGTATTATCAACCCCTTTTCAGAAAAGAAGGGGACTCATGTAGATTACATTTTTTAGAAAACTAAACTCTTGTTGCCTGTATTATTCCCACTATATGAAGTGAATACTGATATCGTGTTCTGTTTTTTAATCTTTACATGCAGCATGAACAGGTTAAACACCTTGCCAAGGGGATTTGGCTCTTTACCAGCTCTGGAGGTTCTTGACTTGACTTACAACAACTTAAATGAAAATTCTCTACCAGGAAACTTCTTCTATCTGAGTAAGAAACTTTTCTAAAAACTACAAATCTTCATGATACGGTGCTTTGCATTCTGCAGTTGAAATGTATTTGATGGAGACCAAACTCCAACAGAATTTTTCTGATATTTATGCTTTTCTCTGAATATTTCTTGAATATTTCTGTGTAGCTCAGCAATATTTATCACTGATATATAGTCACCTGACACCATTGGACACGAGAAGACTTGGTTAGTAATGGTATATTAGTTTTCTTCTGAGTAATATTTCCTTGTGTCCAACTTCATAGGTGCTTGCAAGCCTTGGGGTAAAGTAAACTGTTTTGCAAGGCAACTGTTGTGTGTTGACTCTGGAAACAAGCGTGTTCTTGATGGCTCATTACTGAAATAGTTTTAAGAGCACGTGGATGTTGAAGTGTCCAGTATGTTAGAAAATAAACTAAGGTTACAAAGCTTGGCACAGGAATGGTAGAGCTAGGCTGACCTTTGCACATGTTAAAAATACTCAGTTAAAATAAAGATATTTTAATATATATGTGCAAAAGGGCTGCATTATGGTTGCCTAAGCAACTTGAATTCTGGCAGTTTCTGGATTTCAGTAATTCTACTACCTTCCTGATCTTCTCAGTGTACTATGCTGAAGTGGCTTCAGGATCAGTGCATTTAGCAGCAAAAGTGACAGGCGAGGGGAGAGGAAGGAGTGCCGCTGCCTGAGAGATTTTGTGCTTGTAACCTGGCAGAGTGAAATTTTTAAGTCAGCATTATTAAAAATGGTCACACTTAATGAAATGAAAAGAGGAGTAAACTGTGTAAGACAAATGGGATCTTCTCTCTGGTGTGGAGGAGAGGTTTTGCTGACCTGACTACTTCCTGCTGCACCCAACAGTTCTTTGTGGGTCTCCATTTAATTTTTTTAACTGTCATGTTTGCTCATTCAGTCTTTTTCTGTTAATTTCATAGAGACCGAGCATGAAAATTACGAATTACACAATTTGAGTCTTCTATATTGCACTTTTTAAAGATCTCTTTCCTAGTGTTACGTTGTGCTTTCTATAGAGCTTAACATAGATGTTTATTTGTCCAAAAATCTCAAATGATTTTTTAATTGTTTAGGATGCAAATTGATGTAATAAATAAGAATCGGGGTAATAGAGTAATGACTGTATTCTGACAGCTGGGCATTGAGACTAGGTGCCAGAACCTGACGGAGTCTACTCTTGTAGATATTGTTAATTGTGCCAGTCCTTTTGAATATAGATGTTTTCCTGAACTCGCCAACAATACAATAAGCCAGTAAATCTAAGTTTGACCTGCTTGTTATTGTTGTGAGCTCTGGGTATGTCAAAGGCTTTTCACCAAGTCAGGATTATTAATCAAACCTGACTCCTTTTTATTGATTAGACCTCAAATGGTTGGGTTATATGCTGCCCTGTTTATATATTGCTATTTAATTTGCAGCCACCCTGCGTGCACTCTATCTAAGTGACAACGATTTTGAAATCCTGCCGCCAGATATTGGGAAGCTCACAAAGTTGCAGATAGTAAGTAATTTATCTAAATTCTTGGAAAATCAATTCACTTTTGCAACGCTCGGAGGAATAAAATCTAGTCAGTTTAAGGAGTAGTAGGGTATGTTTGTGGGGAATAGACCACTATACCTAGAACTGTTTCTTGTTTGTCAGCAGACACTTGTAAATAAATAGGAAGAATTGAGTGTTTAGGAGAAAGGTAGGGGCAGAGACAGTAGAGTTCTGGTTTAGGCTGCTTTATGGTAACCAAAAATTGTTCTGACTACTTTATATTCACTCTTAGCTGAGTCTTAGAGACAATGACCTGATATCACTGCCTAAAGAAATTGGTGAGCTCGCTCAGCTTAAGGAACTTCATATCCAGGGAAATCGTCTTACTGTGCTGCCCCCAGAACTAGGTAAGATTATGGGAGATCATTTACTTATCTGAATAATATCGATAATGATGCATTGTGTTTCCTCTGAAATAAGTTGTTAAATTCTAGGAAATAATTACGTTTACATTGACATTGCTGCTAATATTTACTTTCCCCTATATGAAAACTTTTTCTCTCTTACTGGATATGCAGGAGGGGCAGATGATGTGTGTTTGGTTTTATTAGTTATTACATGTTATGTTTTCCTTGTGTATTGATACACCCGACTGCCAATTTGTGTATAGCATCTTGTTTTATGTAATGTATCATAAATATTGGGTCTGCAAAGCTATTGTTGTCTCTGGGTTTTGAGAACACTATTTGGATCAGCCAAAATTATTAAACAAAAATTGTAGCAGTGCAAGTGACTTTTTTCTGACTGTTCCTGTAAAAATGGAAATTTGATTAAGTAGAGTAAAATATAGCTAAATTAGAGGAATCTTTTGTTTTTCTGTTTCAGTAGCCTACCTTTCTTAGTGAGTTGACAGCTCTTTCACTTAAAGCAGTGGAGCTGGTTTATGTACTTTGGATTTGTGATATTGGCCATTTAAATATGATTACAAGTGTCTTATTTCAACCTATAAGGTAGAGCTTTTCTTTGAAATGTAAGTATTGATTTTGCTGAATTTGTATTGCAGTATTCCATTTTATGTAAGGGGCATTGACTTCAATAGAAGTTGTGACTGTCTCAAGCCAGAATTTGGTTTCAGTTCTTTTTAAAGATAGTAATAAATTTTTTTGGGGAGGGAATAATGTAGCTGGATCAATTACTTGTTGTTGAAACAGCTGTTACACAGGGTTTTTTCTTGTTTCTTGTTATCATGGACTGCTATACGTAGGGAAGCTTCTTAGTTTCTGCTAATACCTTCCACAGAATAGTTCCCAAAACTCGGATAGATAGTGACTGAAGTTAGCATGATAAAGCTAAAGATAACAAAAAATATTTGTTGTCAAAGCAAGTTCTCATACTTTTTGTTTTATACAGCAAAGGAAAGCATCTGCTTTTTTCTATGAGGTGGGAGAAGATGTTTGTTTTGACTTTTTTTTTTTTTTTTTTTACCCACCATGGTTTTTCTGCCTTTATCAGTCTAGCAGACTATATGATGCTGAGGTTTTTTGTTCGTTTGTTTTTTACTTCAGCACTGGTAGATGAAAGTTGTTCTTGTTTCCTTAATTTTAGATGTTTATTCCTTGACACAGTTATACTTTCTATAGCTTTTTGTCAAAGGCACATTTATTTATGAAGCCTCTTTCAACAGCAGTAACATTTTGGAAGCATGTAGTATCTGTAAATGTACTTCTGTGTAATTTCCTAAATTATCACTTTTTTTTCCAGGAAGTGGAAGTTAAATGCTGCACTGAGTCTAACCACCTTCTTTGGCTAATTAAATGTTCTAAACATGCTGCTGCTTTACAAGCATAACAGCAAATTAATTTTAAATGGTTTTACCATCATTGTCCAAACCAAATAGAAATGTTTGAAACAAAATTCTTGATGTTTATTTTGCACTGATCTGCAAAACTCAGGGTGGCCAAGGGAAGCATTTCTCCTTTTAGTTAACGGTTTTTTTTTTTTGCACTATAGAACAGTATCACCATCTGGTAGAAAAAGGACTGGTAATTTTGTCCCACTTGGTCAAGATGAGATGCATTGACACAGCTTAAGTCCTTGTCATCTGTTATTTACTCAAAATGCTACTCTATAAAATATACTTTTCTCTTCATGTATTAATTTACCAATGTTTCATTTTATGTTCTTACCCAAGATCCTCATTCTTGATCCGTTGGCATAATTTCTATTGCCATCTATGCAATCTGTAGCACTAGAACTATCTCAGATATTTAAAATAGCCTAGAGCTTGGGGTATATTTCCAGAGAACATTGCACTGAAGTCTAGATTTGTAACTTGTGCAACTTGCAAGCGTGTTCACTGTGCAAAGCAATGTTTTTTGCTTGTTTATTAAACATCTAGGCAAACATACATTTAGAGAATGAATTTTAGTAAATGGAGCACTGGGCTGGGCTTTGGAGGTCTTGTTTGAGATCAGGTAGGAGCAGGCCACAGGCAAGCATGAATCTGTTGAATGATTAGAAAGTCACTTATCTCTGCAGCCTTGTTTTCCCTTCTGCATACTAGGATAATTTAGAGAAGCATGCCTTTGCAGACAGTTTTAAAGTCTGCCAGTGAAAGGTGGTATGTGAGTGCTACAACGTAATGAACGGACTGCTAACTCCATAGTTGCCATCTGAGGGAAAAACAATTTTATCTGCTTTGAGTTCTTCTTAAATTTTTAAAATTGAATTATATTGTAAGGAGAACTACCCAAATACTTTGTACTGTGCATGTTGGATAAATAGCTTTTCAATGAGCAGGTCCTATTTGCATTAATTGGAGATACTGCTGTTCTAGTTAAAGTAAACAGTCTTTCCTCTCTCATTATCACTTTCATAATTAAAGGTGCTGAAGGCTTTTGACTGGCTTAGTTCGGGCACTGCTGGACAGCAACGAGTCATTAATTGTTCATTTACCAGGCAGATGGGCATAATATAAACACCAGAATAAAACAGTGTATTTGAATGAGGAGAAGGGGAGGAATAAGTTAAGCTGGTTTTTAAAGGTGATGGAAATAAGTGCAGAAGAAGGCATGGAGAGTAGGGTATGAGAAAAGGCCACAGACAGACATTGGGATCACAATTTTGTAGTGGAGACAGATACCAATAAATAAAACCCTAAATTCTGCACTTAGTTTCACTCGATATGATTGAGTGTGGAACGCACCAGTAAGTGGGCTGGGGGAGATCAGTATTATCCTCCTCTGTGTTTAGCAGAGAATTCATATCACTAATTTAAGAAAAATATTCTTGCCCAGGAGGAAAAGAGGGGTCTAGACGAGCGCACTGGTGCTCTGGGTGAGTGTGCTTGTCTGTAAATACAGGACGTGTGAATGATGAATGCAGGAAATGGCGGGGAGTAGGTGGGTGGAATTTGCAGCTTGTTTTTATCATTTGTCTCTCAAAAACCCGTTCATGAGGAATGGCGGTGGGCAGTCATATATAAACTTTAAAGAAGCGCTGGCATTTTTTTCCCCAGCATTTAAAAGGTTATGTGCTGCATTGCGAGACAAATAAATCATGATTCACTGCAACAACAGAGTTGCAGTCAGTTATATAAATTGCTAAGGAAGCACTAAATCTGTCACTTTGTGTATTCTGACCATTTAACAATTGAAACGGTGTTTGGAAAAAAAGCTGAGTAGAAACAAAAACCACGTAAAGTGGCAGATGCAATTAGTAAGATCAATGATGGTGTTTTAAGTTCATTGTATGGTCATCTGGGTGGACCCGTATGTGCCACATAAAAGATCTTCTTAGCAGAGTCAGTAGTATATGATGCAGAATATTCACAAAGTTGTAGCTAAATGTGAATAGCCACCCAGATAATGTAACTAGCTTGTCTGTAGGTTTGTTTTTGATGTGAAAACAAATGGCATGTTTTTTCAAACCCAGATTCTAATGTTGACTGTGTTCATTACCATGCCGCCAACACACGTGTGCGCACATGTACCCCAGGTTTACTCATGTTATTTGTGTGTATGGGAAGAACTGTGATTTCTAAGAATGTGTTTTTAATTTCCTCTTTTTCCAAAGCTGGATGTTGGCATCAATGGCTTTTAAGTGTACTATTCAAAACTGTTCTAGTTTACCAAATGATTTCCTCAGGTAAAGGGAGACATTATCAAAACTGTGAAGTTAGGTACATGAGAAGTGGAAAATTCAAGCTCTTTAAAAAAGAAAAAAAACCTGGATGGGATAAGTAGCCACGTTCCTTTTTAAGGAGGGTGAAGCATTTAATAAATTAAATCTATATGTCAGCATGGCTAAGTAATTCTTTCATAATTTTTTAGTTTTGAACAGCTAAGTTATCTTCTCTGGATAAAGGATTAGCTTTAAATAGAAAGTTCAAGGAATCCTGCCAAAAGTCTCAATATTTCCATCGCAGGAAGACATTTTAAAATTTATGCTTTTGAAATGACTCTAGAATTTGTGAATGAATATTATATTATACAAAATAGTTGCTGCAGTTGTTTGTTCAAGTTAATATTAATCAAAATGGTAGTTTACTTAGATAATTATAATAGACATGTGCAAACATAGGAATCACTTATTTCACAAAAGATATTTCTTTTCTAAATACACTTGACGTAAATACCAGACTTTTCTTATTTCAGTGTAAACTATCACTACACTGTACCTGTGTCTCAAGACACTGCTGCTCACACCTGCAAATACAGGTCTGTGGTGCCTGTTAGAAGCCTGAACATCCCGGGCTTCTTTGAACACCAGTTCTGAGCACTGGAACAGCTAATTGATACCTTGGAAGTTTAAAACAATTGCCTGTTTCTACTTTTGGAACTAAGGAAAAGGTGGTGTAAGGAAGTAAGGAGCTTTACTAAACTTCTTAATGGATAAACAAAATAACTTGTTTTCTAGGACTACTGATGTAGCAGTTATTTGTTAAGGAATAATAGAAAAATCTACGTAACAAGATAGGTCACAGGCAGGTCATTTATGTGAGAAAAGTACTTCTGAAAATTTGTGAATATTCTAGTTGTGTTTCTCATTTTAGACAAATCCAGTAACAACACCAAAACCCACCACTTTTTATGTAATTAGAAACCAGGCTGATTCCACAGAGTACTTGATGGGAGTTAAGGTGTATGAGAAGAGATGACAACCTGCAATTTTATTATATGCCGAAAGATGTTTTCTATAGCCCATCATTTAAATTTACACCACAGGCATTCATTTCCTTGCTCTGCCATAATTCTTGCCAACCTTTCCAAGATGCAGATTTGATCTTACATTAGTTTTTAAAATATGCAGGTCCTACTGTTGCTTCTCAGATGACTACAGTGTGTGTAGGCTTTCCTAATGTTGAGTGTACTCTGATTATAAGTACCATCAGCATAATAATGATATT